TTGCGGAAGAAGTTTATAATAGACAATGCCTTTTCAATCCCAGCAGTATCATCTTATTTGTATGCAAACCAGCTTTTCGTTTCCCACAGGGCCTTCTTTTGCTTCACATTGTTGTAAGCAATTCATTTTTCATTGCCTGTGATGATTCCTTTTTAGAGAACCGCGGATTATTTTTTTCTGTTAAACTGTTAGGCACACATACAACACAATTCACGAATTTTAAAATGCCTTACAACAATCATATAAGAAATTGAGAAAAACACTGCAATGTCTTCTCTCGTATTACCCAGATTATATAAAACAGCGTTTTAATTTGGTCAGCACCATCGTCTTCAGGCCTGCCGAAACGTTCTCAGTCTTTCAGATCAAAAGTTCCACTTCGGAATCTAGCGAAACCGTTACGATTATTATTTTCATCTAAAGCACCCTCCTCGTAAATCGCACACAGTTTTTTTACTGTTTGTAGAGTGTTTGTTTTTTTGTTTTTTTTTTTCCTGAAATAAAAGAACAATAAATAAGGAAATTTCCACCATTTCACTTTTAACGTAAAATATTTAAAATTCATAATCCACATACGAATCATATAGAAATATGGGTTGAAATGTCGCCTTTCAATATACGTATATATATCATAAATATACTTACCTGGCTTATATCAGAGGGTATATCCCAGACGAGGCTCTGCCGAAGGGCAGAGTCTCATCTCGGGAAACTGACTCCGTTTTTACGTGGTCTATAGGGAATTTTTGCCCGAGCCTACGGGCTCGGATACTCCACTTTAACCTCGGCCTTGTGCCACATCTTGCTGCGTGGGCCAGCGGGTAAATAATTATATATCATAAATTTCAGCCATAGGTAGATTGTGACGTCATACCCAGTAAGTCTAGCCTAGAAATCAATAACATATGGTTGCCATTAATAAAGAAAAATATAATAATGTCGGCAGCAGTAAGAAAAGTGAAACAGCGACGGAAGTTTAAGACTCAAAATTCTATGTTTAGAATTGCTTAGTGGATAGTCTAGAGCATTAAAGGGTTAAATAATTTAGTGGCATAGTACAGGGAGTTCAACCCCCTGGGCCGAATAGTATGGAATCAAACCCAGTGGAGACAACGAGGAAATAAGTGAAAGTTTGGGCTAAAAGACAAACAAAAAATGCAAGAGGAAATACCACTATACGCATAGACATGAACAGACGAGCGAAAGCAATTTATTCCCTATTGAATTACTTATCTCAATAGATGTAGATAGCTTCCCCTGTAGTAACAACAAAAAAAAGATGAGGGTTATCATCGCAATATAAATAAATGAATTAATCATCCTTCTGTGCTGAAACCTTGGGTAAAGGTTATCAGTGCCTAAAGCGGACTCGGCCAGCCTTAATTCACAACCAGTCTGAAGTTGGATGGGCTCCGTCAGGCGATCTTGCCTTAGACACAGTCAGGTCCACCTCAGAGGCAGTTTATAGGGTACCCCTACCTACCCTAATGATTTAAAGAACCTATGATGGTAATGTTGGAAATTACCATAGTTTATCCTCTGAACAGATTCAGATAGGTGTTAGCATAATTTTGAATTTACTATATGAATGAACTCGTTTGCCAAATGAGTTTGCACACGGTTACTCTAGGGTTGGCGATCTAATTTTGTATGTATATATGTATGTATGTATGTGAGAAAATACCCAATATTTGCAGAAAATGATCTGTATATCAAACCGATTCCGTGTGTGACTGTTAGTGGCGTGCGTGCATGTTCTCGCGAGTGACAGTGCACAGCGATGTCTAGAAGGGAGGAGTGTGCGCCGCCCGTGATGTGAAAGAGGGCAACCGTGGCGCGAGAACACGCCACGTCACGGTTGACGGCTTAATAACCAGGTGTTGTCAGGGGCGGGTAAAACGTCCTGCCTGCACGAAGATTTGTGCAGGCGGATAGACGATAATGAAATTAAAGGCGGTTAGCTGGTTAGGGTAGGAATGGTTAAGGCAGAGGCGGAGGTTGCAAAGTGTGTCTGCTTTCATCAAATCGACTCAGTCATTTTTGTGAAGAGCGTAAAAGAAAAAAAGAAACGAAAAAAAAAATGGAAAAAGAATGACTTGGCTAGACGAAGCGTTTTTCGAGTTCCGCTGTAGATGGCGGTGTGTGAGCTGCTGAGAATAATGGCGGCGATATAGGAGGTCTGGTTACTACGTGAAAAGTATGGGTGCTAAGGGAGATAACTTTGTTTTGAAAAATATTTTTTTTACGCACTCTTAAAGTGAATTCTCTCTAGTTTTCTAGAGTCTACTTTTTTTTGCCAAAAGTAAACACATTCTTTTGTTTAGCGTTTTTTTATTATGATTTTATTTTTTATCTTGATACTTTTTTAAATAAAACACTGTGTTTAGCTGATTGTTTTACTGAGGTTCTGTAAATGTTTATAAGGTTGAAGACAGCATTCTCTTTCTCTGTTCACATCTATTTCCCTCTTTTTCTCTTTCATTCTCTCTTTCTTTCTATCTCTCGCTATTATCTTTCTTTCTAAGTTACATAACACACGCCCATACACACACACTTTCTCTTTCTTTCCCTCTGATCTTTCATTCCCTTTCCCCATAACGCGCTCTTTCAATCTATCTACATTCTTCTTTCTACCATTTTCTCTCTGATTCTCGATCATAAAGCACTTTCATGGGCTCTCTCTTTCTTTTCTCTCCTCCCCCCCTCTCTCTCTCCTCATCGTTCTCTCACTCTCTGAAGTAATCATATGCACATCTCTCACAAATTAGCACACATACACGTCCTTATTTTAGCTATACCTGTGTCATTTTAAACTATCATGAACTCCCTCACTAACCGACATTAACATGTATTCGTTCCCTTTTTGAAACATAAGCACGAAATATGTTTCGCTTTTATATTCTATCCTTTTCTCTTTGCCAAAAAAAAAAATATCTTTTTTCAAAACACATACCAACATACGCGCACATCTTTTTGCTATAGACTAACTTATGATACAAACTCTCTTTCTAGCTAAAATATTCTCTAACAGATAAAAAATATACTAGCAGACTCTTTCATGGCTTCAATCTCTCTTTATACCTTTCCCAAAGGAAACAGCAGAATACAAAATATCCAAATTAAATGTTGAACAGTTTTTTTCTTTTATTTCACCCAAAACTAAAGCCACTATACGAAGCTTAGAACAGCTCATGATCAAACATAATAGACATTCGTTGTTTGTCATATTTAATAATATATATATATATATATATATATATATATATATATATATATATATATATATATATATATATATATATGTGTGTGTGTGTGTGTGTGTGTGTGTTTAAATAAAAATGGATGATTGATTTTCTGTATCCTTGGTAACCGTAAATTATGAATTTCCCTTGTAGTTAAACCTTATTAAATTTTAAAAAATAAGTTACTCGAAAATTCGCTTGAGGATGAAATGGAACTAATGTTTTAATTTAATTACAAAATTAAATTTAAAGTTTTTACCTTCCATTTTTGAAACATGTTTATTACTGTGTAGCGAAAAAACATTTTAAATCAGTTAATTTATATATATATATATATATATATATATATATATATATATATATGATGCGAGAAATATCATAGCATAGTCACCCGTCTTCCCATCTCAACTTTCATTGACCTGTGAAACCGAAAATGTTACCCTAAATAAATATTCTTAGGGAATCCAAATGCCTCAACTTCTTTTTTCCATATATATATATATATATATATATATGTGTGTGTGAAAAAGTATAGTTTTAAGGTATGCTCTATATAAGTGTTCAAAGTTTTCTATAATACTCTGGATCAGACAATGGTTTCTCCTACAAAGACAGACGCAGGTTCATATCCTGTCGTAAAGCTCATTCTCTTTATGTCTCTCAAATGTGCAGGCAGATAGACCCAATTCAAACAGTTTAAAAAGTTTAATCCCTCCTCAAAATAACGTTTGATATAGTAAGAAATAATATAAACAAATCCATTAATTAATTAGAAATTACTTCGTTTACGTTACGGACCCGAAAAAATGAGCAAAAGTTCTGAATGAGAGAATGCGTTTTCTTTAAAAGCGCAAATGAACTTTTGTCGAACTATAAATCTCTTCATGGACGGACAGTTTAAATAGGCCAGATAAAACTGCAGTTTCTCCTACTAATCAGGACGCAGGTTTGAACCCTTAACCTAACAGACTGAAATTTGATCTCAATTCCGTGATTTCTTATTCTAAGCAGTCATCCATCGCCCAACTTTACAGCCCCTGATTTTCCCCAAACGACCCTCACCATCTTGATACCAATCAGGCTCGATGTTGCTTAATTTCGATGATCTGATGAAAATCGACGTTTTAACGTAATATGGCCGAAACGTTTTATGTAAAATTGAAGAGAACAAAAAACCAGCTTAAAATTGCCTTTCAAGTGAGAGTCCTTGAATCAAAGTTGCTGTTGCCTCTTTCTGTGTACCGTCTGGAACCATTTGACCAATGATCGGCTGACACGACAACAATTATGGCAGTCTTCACCGTTCCAGAAGAAATATAAATGACAATATAAAAGTCGCTTCAAAAACGAAAGTAGAGCACCTATAAAATATATTGGCAAAATGTCAGTGAAGAATTCAATGATTTGGGTTAAAATTTCATTGATATCTCCATTTCCCGGTTCTTTGTACGTTGTTTCTTTTGAAATCATCCAGACTAATAGGTTCTTTCATTTTCTTGCTTAGTTTTTCATGCTGTCTATTTCTCTTACATTTGGTTTGCTAACTTTGAAAATGTATTCCAAATTATTTTTCCGATCAGTTCTCAGTTTTAGCTGGAAGGAATTTTCAGATTAATTTTCATGAGCAACTTTCATTAATTGTCTTGGATTTCCATATTTCACACGTGATGTGAAAAACAGAGAACTACAATGACTTTCATCGAGTAGGCATGATTTTCTGTTAAGATTAATGCAAGTCCATTTACGATTTTCGTGCAATTATGTAGATAGATAGATAGATAGATAGATATGACCAAACCAGAGTAGATAGATAGATAGATAGATATGACCAAACCAGAGTAGATAGATAGATAGATAGATATGACCAAACCAGAGTAGATAGATAGATAGATAGATATGACCAAACCAGAGTAGATAGATAGATAGATAGATATGACCAAACCAGAGTAGATAGATAGATAGATAGATAGATATGACCAAACCAGAGTAGATAGATAGATAGATAGATATGACCAAACCAGAGTAGATAGATAGATAGATAGATATGACCAAACCAGAGTAGATAGATAGATAGATAGATATGACCAAACCAGAGTAGATAGATAGATAGATAGATATGACCAAACCAGAGTAGATAGATAGATAGATAGATATGACCAAACCAGAGTAGATAGATAGATAGATAGATAGATATGACCAAACCAGAGTAGATAGATAGATAGATAGATAGATATGACCAAACCAGAGTAGATAGATAGATAGATAGATATGACCAAACCAGATAGATAGATAGATAGATAGATATGACCAAACCAGAGTAGATAGATAGATAGATAGATATGACCAAACCAGAGTAGATAGATAGATAGATATGACCAAACCAGAGTAGATAGATAGATATGACCAAACCAGAGTAGATAGATAGATAGATATGACCAAACCAGAGTAGATAGATAGATAGATATGACCAAACCAGAGTAGATAGATAGATAGATATGACCAAACCAGAGTAGATAGATAGATAGATATGACCAAACCAGAGTAGATAGATATGACCAAACCAGAGTAGATAGATATGACCAAACCAGAGTAGATAGATATGACCAAACCAGAATAGATAGATAGATAGATAGATAGATAGATATGTACATATATATTAAGTAATTCATCGAGTCCTCGGTGACGAGGAGGTAGTGAACTAGACTCGATATTGCGCCGCTCGTTCACATATTCCGTGGTGGAACTCATCCAAGTTCCTTTACCCATAGGACTGTGCCTCCGAGAGCCACGATTACCATCACCAAGCCGCTCCAACCAGGGCATTAGAAGCCGGCTCAAGCAAGGATATTCAAATGATAGAAATTAAGGAGCATTTGAGATAATTAAGTAATTCATCGAGTCTAGAAGAAACTTCATCAGCAATGCGTATCCACTACCGAGAATTGAAATCCGGACAGTTATATTGACAGGCAAACGTCATAACAACTGTACTAACGGGCCTCAGTGACGAAGAGGTAGTGCATGCGCACTGCTGATGAGTCCCAAATATAGGACGAAACGGCCGTCCAGTGCATTGTGTTGAGGTTTCTTATAGACTCGATGAATTACTTAATTATCTCAAATAATTATTAAAATTAAAGTACCAAGCTCTGTTTCATCCTCAAGCGAAATTTAATTTTAATAATTATATTGAAGTTTTTGGCTCTTGTTTTTGAAACATGAGAACTCTTATGTAGCGAAGGAATTATATTTTTAAATTATAATTTAGTCTACTTTTTTTCTGCTTTTTTAAATAAAAAAAAATTACTAAAGAACTTCAGATTATTTACCTAACGTGTTCTTTCTTATTTTTCTATATATTTTCACACACACATATATATATATATATATATATATATATATATAAAATAGATATGAATAGAAAGAATTTCTGTATATTCTTATTCATCTATTTTTCTTTGCATTATTTTGTAATATTTGTTTCCTTTTTTTTTTTCGTCAGACACGTGTTTGTTTCCCAATTTTTCTCTCGAATATTCTGGTCATTTCCCTCTCCTTTCCCCGAAAATGTCTTTTGTTTCAACTCCAGTTCTTTCCAGTGACTTATTTCTACATCGGGGTTTTTATTACTTTTATTTCCTTTTAGTGACCTCGCTTCTTTTTTCATAGATTTCTTGTTTTTGTCCTTCGCAATCGTCGAATTTTTGCTTTGTCATTCATTAATGTTTCTGCGCCATTTGCCTTAACTTATTTCCCTGTTTCTCGTTTGTTCCGCAACTTTGCAACGCTTTTCAACACCAGATGAGGAAGACAATATTCGAACACACGCGTTTGTCTGCCAGAAGCAGTCAAATGTGAACAATAAAATAGTTCGATTGAGGGTCAGAGCGAGTATCTGAAAAAAGTGACTTAGTTTAAGCCAAATTCATAAGCCAACGATGTCAATGTCCCTATAAGAGCAAAATTTTCCGGGGTTCCTGTCAATAGTTACCTTACTAGTCAAAGATACATTTGTAATTCTTCTAGATTGAGAACAAATCGAAGACATCCAATCTGAGGATAAAAAATAATCAACAGATGTCAATAAATACTATTTCTTCCTATTACTCGCAAAATGGCGCACACAAATATGGAAGGTGGATAAATAATGGTTATTGCGAATTTGGTGATATTTTTACTCGATTGTTACTTCAAAAATGATATTCCAACGATGGCTACTCCGGAAATGATAGATAGATAGATACTGACTAGACTAGGATAGATAGATAGATAGATAGATACTGACTAGACTAGGATGGATAGATAGATAGATAGATACTGACTAGACTAGGATAGATAGATAGATAGATACTGACTAGACTAGGATAGATAGATAGATAGATACTGACTAGACTAGGATAGATAGATAGATAGATACTGACTAGACTAGGATAGATAGATAGATAGATACTGACTAGACTAGGATAGATAGATAGATAGATACTGACTAGACTAGGATAGATAGATAGATAGATACTGACTAGACTAGGATAGATAGATAGATAGATACTGACTAGACTAGGATAGATAGATAGAGCAATACTGACTAGACTAGGATAGATAGATAGATAGATACTGACTAGACTAGGATAGATAGATAGATAGATACTGACTAGACTAGGATAGATAGATAGATAGATATGGACTAGACTAGGATAGATAGATAGATAGATACTGACTAGACTAGGATAGATAGATAGATGAATACTGACTAGACTAGGATAGATAGATAGATAGATACTGACTAGACTAGGATAGATAGATAGATAAGATACTGACTAGACTAGGATAGATAGATAGATAGATACTGACTAGACTAGGATAGATAGATAGATGATACTGACTAGACTGGGATAGATAGATGAAAAAATAATGACTAGACTAGGATAGATAGATAGATAGATACTGACTAGACTAGGATAGATAGATAGATAGATACTGACTAGACTAGGATAGATAGATAGATGAATACTGACTAGACTAGGATAGATAGATATAGATACTGACTAGACTAGGATAGATAGATAGATAGATACTGACTAGACTAGGATAGATAGATAGATAGATACTGACTAGACTAGGATAGATAGATAGATAGATACTGACTAGACTAGGATAGATAGATAGATAGATACTGACTAGACTAGGATAGATAGATAGATAGATACTGACTAGACTAGGATAGATAGATAGATAGATACTGACTAGACTAGGATAGATAGATAGATAGATACTGACTAGACTAGGATAGATAGATAGATAGATACTGACAAGACTAGATAGATAGATAGATAGATACTGACTAGACTAGGATAGATAGATAGATGAATACTGACTAGACTAGGATAGATAGATAGATAGATACTGACTAGACTAGGATAGATAGATAGATGAATACTGACTAGACTAGGATAGATAGATAGATAGATACTGACTAGACTAGGATAGATAGATGATAGATACTGACTAGACTAGGATAGATAGATGATAGATACTGACTAGACTAGGATAGATAGATAGATAGATACTGACTAGACTAGGATAGATAGATAGATAGATACTGACTAGACTAGGATAGATAGATAGATAGATACTGACTAGACTAGGATAGATGATAGATAGATACTGACTAGACTAGGATAGATAGATAGATAGATACTGACTAGACTAGGATAGATAGATAGATAGATACTGACTAGACTAGGATAGATAGATACTGACTAGACTAGGATAGATAGATACTGACTAGACTAGGATAGATAGATACTGACTAGACTAGGATAGATAGATACTGACTAGACTAGGATAGATAGATACTGACTAGACTAGGATAGATAGATAGATAGATAGATACTACGATGTCTACTCCGAAAATGATACTTTCGTCGACGTAATTAAGTTTTACTATAAAGGCTATGAAAACAAATATAAGTTAAATCTATTTAAATATTATTAGAAATGTAACCATTTTCAACGGCTGCAACCCCAGCTGACGAGAAGTCAAATTTCGATTCTACCTTTAAATCTGTGGCTTCACCGTGAAAAAAAAGTTTCAAAGACTGTAGTTTCTCTATCTAATGAGTATGGAGGGTGTGGAAGATGCGCACACAGGAACTTACTTATTTTTTCATCGCTTCGATTTGCAGCGCATAGCCTTTCCATAAAGCGCTCGAAAAATGTGTCGCCCATTGTGGTGACTGGTGTCAATAAATAGTTTCGGAGCCGGAGTCTTTCTCTATTAAATAGCGTTTTTGTGCTTCCTGAATCTCTTGTACTTTCCGTCGAAATAAATAAGAAGACTCATCTTTTAACCTAAACAGGACACTTTAAACGTAAAACTTCGTTTACCCGGTCAATGTGCTCTTAATAAATCTTTGCAGTGAGGAACCTTCTATGTCCCACTAGATCGTAATGGATTGGGTTAGTTTGTTTTGTTTAAGGGCATATCAACTCCGTATTTTGTAAAGCATTTCGCCCCAAGGAAAGGGGGCGAGACACTAGCACGCAAAAGGTTACAGGGAGCGAGAGCAAGAGTAAAGAGGGGGTGTTTGAGGAAAGAATAAAGAGAAGGACAGGGATCAAAATCAAGGCATCAGAAGATGTCGATTGACATTACATTTGAATATTTAAAGATTATAGCTATCAGGGAAGCAAGTAAGAGGAAGGGAGTTTCACTGTCGGGAAGTGCGAGATGAGAAGCTGTTTGAGGCGATTACATTTAAGCGTTTCGACAGTGAAAAGGTGGGACCGAAATGCCAACCCAGTAGCACGCTTAAATTCATTCAGTTAGGGTACCAGTGTAAACTAGCTTCTCAGAGCAATTGACATGAAAATATTCGTAGAAAAGAGAGGGAAGACACATCATGTCTGTAAGAAAGTGACTGTAGACGAGATGCCAGATCAAGACCTATCACATTGCATATCCGTCTCTGGATTTTGTCGAGGATATCGAGATGAACAGCAGGGACACCAGACTAAATATGGCAACAATATTCAATGAAAGTACGACTGGTAGACTTGTAAATTCGAACGATGGACACAGGTGAGAAAAACCTTCTGGCGCGACACAGGGAACCAACTTTCCTTGCGGTAGGTGAAGCTATTGATTCAATGTAGTTGTTTCATCACACGTCAGTGGAAAACGCGAGACCAAGCAGGCGCGGAGAGGCGCTGTCGTGGTTTTGGGCATCAGCCATTCTGATAGGCGGCTGGAAGGCATCTCTATGGTGGGTAAATGGGAGGAGTTTCGTTTTGGAGGCATTAAAACTCACAAGCCATTTTCTGTCCTAGTCAACCACAGATCGGAGGTCATTTTCGAGACCAACGGCCAGGTTAGCTTTGTCAGCAATTCCGGATTTACTATTGAAACAGGAGTAAATTGTAGTGTCGTCTGCGTAGATGCTTACTTGGGAACTGTTGACATTGGAATGATCGGGAAGCTCGTTAATGAAAAATGATCAGGAGGTTTTAAGGAGCGTGAAACCACCTCTTAATTGCTGGTGTTCCCAGGTCCATCCTAACCCGCGGTGATAGCACTTGTTAGGGTCCCAACTATGGGCAAATAGTTAACCCCGAAATTGAGGTAAAAAGCATTATAAAAGTATAAAAATAGGTTTTCATACCAGAAATACTTTGTAAAAAATTATTACCAGAAATAAATTTTTGAAGAAAAAAAAAAAAAAAAAAACTATTACCAGTAATATATTTTTGAAAAAAATATTACTAGCAATACGTGTTTGAAAAAAAATATTACCAGCAATACATTTTCGTGGAAAAATATTTGACAAAACAAAATATTACCAGGAAAAAAAGTTGTTGGCATTAAATAAACCAATAAGGTTGATATGTCATAAAACACAATAAATCAAACCAAATCAAGCCAAGTGAGTAATTAAAAAAAAGACTTTTTACGAAAAAAAAAAAAAAAAAAAAACCATCATCCAAGTTTGTAAATTTCCTAAAAGTTGGATTGTACTAAAAATGAGTAATTGAAAAATTATTCAAATATATATGTATGCATACACACTTTTTTTACCGAACTATCGCTATGAATCTATTTCAAAATTTTGTTGGCATTAAATGACCCACTGAAGTTGATATGGTATAAAACAAAACAACCAACCAACCAATCTTGCCTCAGTCAACAACAGATTGGAGGTCCTTTTAGAGACTAACGGCCAGGTTAGCTTTGTCAGCAATTCCGGATTTACTATTGAGACAGGAATAAATAGTAGTGTCGTCTGCGTAGATGCCTACTTGGAACTGATAACATCAGGAAGATGGCTCATTTAATCCCGAAATGTTATTTTCTTGTGAGTTTTTGTTTTAATATATTGATTGTAATTGTTTTACTATGAAAATGTATTGCTGGTAATCTTTTCTAATTTATTTTTTATATTTTCATGTTTTGACACCATTTTAGAGGCTCACTATTTGCTCATAGCTGGGACCCTAACAGGTACTACCACCCTGGGTCATGGTGGACCTGGGAACAACACCAATTAAAAGGTGGTTCCATGCTCCTTAAAACCTCCCGTCATATCCAGGAAGAGCCCGTAACAGACAACACATTTCACATTCCAACAGAAACAAAGTAATGACTTTTGTGGATAGGGCACTTGTTTTCCTGCTACCACTTGCTTCGCATTTTGTGATAATCAGTCTTTTTGGCTTTCTATTGGTATATAAACCTATTTTCATTACTTATAAAAATAAAGGTTGGCATTCCTGATAAAAAAAAAACTGCTAGAGATGGCTGAAAGTTGTCTTCGATTTTCAAGCTTCAAGCGGACGCTCATGAGGGACGCAAATGTTGTTTGCATGATTTCCTAATTAAACATTAGCATAGGATACGGAATATGATAAGCGAATTCTAGACGCAGCTTAAAATCTAAAGACAAATATGCAATGTGATAGGTCCTGATCTGGTATCTCGTCTACAGTCACTTTCTCGCAGACGTGCTGTGGCTTCCCTCTGTCTTTTCTACAAATATCTTCATGGCAACTGCTCTGAGAAGTGCAAGAATTTAAGCGTACTACTAGGTTGGCATCTTGGTCCCACCGTTTTACTGGCGAAACGGCTAAATGTAGCCGTCTCTTCTACTCTAACAGCTTCTTTTCTCGCACTTCCAAACAGTGGAACTCCCTTCCTCTTAACTTGCTTCCCAATCTTCAAATGTAATGTCAATCGACATCTTCTGATGCCTTGATCCTGATCGCCATCCTTCTCTATATCATTTCTTTAAACAACCCTCTTTACTCTCACTCTCTGTAACCCCTTGCGTGCTAGTGGCACTCGCGCCTTGCTTGGGGTGAAATGCTTAAAAAATTTATTTCGGTTCTAATTGGTTGATTGATGCTTGATTAACAGCGGTTAAATAATTAATTACATTCCTAACATCCTAATATGTCAGCTGACAATTATACAATGGTCGGATGTTGATAAAATTGCAGTAGAGTTTTCGCCATATTTTCTTTTCTCTTTTACCCTGTTAGTAAGTGGAGTTTAGCAGACGTGTATCCTTGCAGTATGTGATTCAGACCAGGAAATACCAAATAAACTTCATCGAATTTAATGTCAACGAGGAACCATTTTAAGTTGATCTGTTATGAATCTAATATGTACTTGATAACAAAATACACTTTGAATTCACACACATTTACATGTGGGTCAAATGCAAGAATTGCACAAATCCATTAGCATATTGCATACGAATTTATCTACTTTTGCTTCGACTAGTAGGTACTGACTAGGAGATGGATACCCCGAAATCAGGATTTATTTATATTATATATATATATATGACTTGCTGTTGTGAAGTCCAAGTTTAGCACTAGTAAGTCGCTAAATTTTTATGTCTACTTCGTTATTCCTTGTGACCACTTATATGAGTGCCCACTTATGCTTATGCAAATTATGCATACTAATTTGCTAGTATCACTACATCTCCCTTAACCTTAAGGGTTTTATTCCTCTTGTAGATCTTGTACTCCTTCTCCTGCTATTTTCATCACTTTGCTCTACTTCTCTATCTCTCCCGTATTTCTTTCCCTGGGAGACCTAGATCTGACCCGGGCTAGGCTGTAGTCATGTGTGTTTTCTTGCATAATCTGGTCTTCATCCGAACTTTCAGACTCCTTCTGGCCCTCTTCATCCTGCATTGTTTGCTCTTCTGACGTTTCCTTATGTAATGGTTGTTCTACCAACTCGTTATCAGACGGAATTGAATACATTTCTTCGTCGTTTTTGTTCTTCCTCTTCACCCTGGGTCCTTATTTGGTCTGCATGGGCTAACACACTATCGCCATTTTCTCTATTTATTATGGCTGTATTGTGGCCTTTTTGCATTATAAATTCTGCTCCTTCCGGATCTGCATCTTTGTTCTTTTTGTACCACATTTTTTCATTTGTAGAATATGACATTGTTAGCGGAGCTCTAATCTGTCTTCCCATTAAAACTGATGGGATTTCTAGTCTTCCCGCATGTGGTATCGTACGATAACTTAAAAGCAGCCTCGGTAGAAAAACTTTTCTTTTTGCTGAAAGCATGCTTTTAGCCCCTTTTTTACGGTCTGTACCATTCTTTCTGCTAATCCGTTTGATTGAGGGTGATATGGAGGTGTCTTATATGGTTTACACCCTATTTTTCTAACCATGCATTAAGTTCTTCATCACGAAATTCTGGTGCATTATCAGATACCAAGGTTTTTGGTACACCATTTCTGGAAAATATGACTCTTAGAATCTGCTTTATATTAGAACTTTTCTTGTTTGTAACCCGGATTATTTCAGGCCAACCTCAAAAGGAGTCTACTAATATTAATAAGAGTCCCACTTCATTAATGTATGCATGATCCATATGCACACGACTCCATGGCTCCACTTCTTTGGGCCACGAATGTAA